TCTGATGAAGGGTCCAGGCCCGAAACGTCAGCCTTTCTGCTCCTATGGTGCTGCTTGGCCTGCTGTGTTCATCCAGCTCTGCACCTTGTTGTCTCGGATTCTCCAGCATCTGCAGTTCCTACTATCTCGACTCCTCCACTGTTAGATTATCAGGCTGCTTGTTCACCGTCCAGCACTGGATGAGCAGAAACCTTCTCCAACTGAATGTTGGGAAGCATGTGCCTGCTCCACTCTGATCGCTATCTGCTGACTCCAAACATGCCCCTGGGAGCAGTTAGGGAACAGTTCAGCCTGTTCTTGAGCTTGGTGTCACATTTGTTTATAGCCACATTTGCAGCTTTATAGAACTTTAGTTAGGCCACACTTGGAATATTACGTATAGTTCTGGTCACCACCCTACCAGAAGGATGTGGATGCTTTGGAGAGGGTACAGAAAAGGATATTGCTGGTATAGGGGATTTTAGCTATGAAGGAAGGTTGGTTAGACTGGGTTTGTTTTCACTGGAACGCAGGAGGTTGAGGGGTGACCAAATAGAAGTTTATAATATTGTGAATGGCATGGAGAGAGTGGGAAGTTTTCCCAGGGTGGAGGGGTCAATTACTCACTGACACAGGTTCAAGATGCAAAGGGGGAAGTTTAAAAGAGATGTGCGAGGCAGGTTTTTCACACAAAGGGTGGTGAGTGCCTGGAACATGCTGCCAGAGGAGGTGGAGGAAGCAGACACAATACCAACATTCAAGAAGCACCTGGACGAATACATGAATAGGAAGGGAATAGAGGGATATGGATCCTGTAAGTGACACAGTTTTAGTATGGAAGGGCAAAATGTTTTGGTGCAGGCTTGACGGGCCGTAGGGTCTCTGCCCGTGCTGTATTGTTCTTTGTTTTTTGTTTCCACCTGGTGAACAGGTTTGAGAGTACTCCATAGTTTTAGTGATTAGCTCAAGGCAGTCCAGAGAAGGTTCACTCGGCTGATATCAGGTTTCGAGGGACTGTTTTATGAGGGAAGGTTTAGTAGGTTGGGCCTATACTTGATGGAATGAAGAGGAATGAGAGGCGACCTTGTTGATATATACAAGATTCTAAGGGGACTTGGCAGGGTAGATGTGGAAAAGTTGTTTCGCCTTGTGGGAAAGTATGGGACCAGAGGGCATCATCTCGGAATAAGGGATTTCACTTACAGGGGAGGCGGTGGCCTAGTGGTATTATTGCTGGACTATTAATCCAGAGACCCAGATAATGTTCTGGGGACCGGGGTTCGAATCCCACCATGGCAGATGGTGGAATTTGAATTCAATAAATATCTGGAAAATTAAGAATCTAATAATGACCATGAATCTATTGTCGATTGTTGGAAAAACCCATCTGGTTCACTAATGTCCTTTAAGGAAGGACACTGCCATCCTTACCTGGTCTGGCCTACATGTGACTCCAGACCCACAGCAATGTGGTTGACTCTGAACTGCCCTCTGGGTAATTACGGACGGGCAATAAATGCTGCCTGGCCAGCGACACCCTCATCCCGTGAATGAATAAAGAACTTTAAGGACAGTGACAAGGAGGATTTTTTTTGTCAGAAGGCAGAGAATCTGTGGAATTCTTTATACTGCAGAGGGTATTGCAGCTGGGTCATTGAGTATACCCAAGGTTGAGGTAAACATTTCTAATCGATATGGGAATCAAGCATTATAGGGAAGAGACAGGAAAGTGAAGTTGAAAATGATCAGATCAGCCATGATCTCATTGAATAATGGAGCAGACCCGATGGGCCGAATGGCCCGTTTCTGCTCCTGCACCTTATGAATGTGAGCAAGCATTGAATTTGTTTGAATATCATTCTGTTTCTAGGTGAAACTCAGGTCGAAGAAGTCGCAAGTGGGTTACCTGCAAGTCGGAGTGGAGTGTTACGGCGGTGGAATCTGGAATACTTGGTTTGACCGTGACCTCACAGTAGCCGGCAGGGTTGTGCTGAAGGTAGGTTAGATACATTGGCTGCACTGGTCCCTAGTGCATAAACATCTCGGTTTGAAATACTCGTATTTGTTTTCTAAAACAGCCATAACTTTGCCTTCTCCCCTCTATCACTGTCACCTCCAGTAGACCTATGACCCTCCAAGATTCCTGAGTGCCTCTAGCTTTGGCCTCGTGCGCATTCCAATTTCTATCACTAATGACTAGCCTTTCAGATACCGAGGCCTGAACTTTGGACTTCTTTCTCCAACCTCTACGCTTCTCCTCCCCTCTGGCTAAGGTTTTAGTCACCTTCTATATCCTTGCATTGGCAAGAGCCAAAAGAATTTGTGAAGTGCCTCAGGGCATTTTGATTCAAGTTGTTGTTGCTGCAGCTTCTTCTGTCTCCATCCTGGTGCGTACAATTTGACAGGACAATTTTGACTTGCTTTAGATCTCTCTGCCTGACTTCTGTTTCTAGAATGGAGACAAAGTGGAACATCGCCTGATCAACGTGGCTGAACCAGTCCTTCGCATCCCTCACCTGGCCATCCACCTGCAGAGAGAGATTAACGACAACTTCGGACCCAACAAGGAGAACCACCTGTAAGCTGATGCGATCGGCAGCCTTTGTAATGTGTGTAAAGACAACCCCTCCCTGTCATTTAATCATCTAATTATCATATCCTCCTATTCCTTTCTCCTTCTCTAACTTGCCTTAAAACAGTATCTGTACTGTTCACCTTGACTATACTCCATTCAGTAGCGAGTTCCACATTGTCACCACTAACTGAGTAAATTGCTGCATTTATTCGTGACCATCTCTATTTATATTTTTGGACTTCCATTTAAGTAAGACCACTTTCCCTACATCAACTCTATCAGGTCCTTTCATTAATTTTAAAGACCCCTGCCAGCTCATCTTTCACTTTTCCAGGGAGAGAGCCTCAGACTGTCCAACCTTTGGTTAGCTCTTTCAGAAAATCAATCAGTTTGGCTATAATTCTTGCAAATTTTTTTTGCACTTCCTCAAGTCCCTCGTTTCATTTTTATAATATGAAGACTACAGCTATTCACCCTAATGCAAATTTTGACATGAGATCAACACAACTTTCTGCAATTCAATTCTCTCCCTCTTAGTATGAACCCTAGTTTATTTTTTTCAGTAGGGTTATTAACCTGCATTATTAAGTGTGATGATTTGTGTATCTGTAATCTTCCCCTAAGTCCCTCTGTTCCTTTACCCAGTTTGGACACTTACTTTCCAAGGAGTATGTGGCTTCTTTGTTCCTTCTATGAGTATTTAGCAGATATATATATCGAACTTTGACTGCCAATTTCACCTGAAATCTGTGATAGGGTGGCCAGTTAGTCTCCAAGACACGGTTTGTGTCCAATCCTGGAGAAAAATCACATGGCAAAAACTAATCAATCTTTTGAAAAGCTTTTTTCATCGCCTCCATTTACCAGATGTCAAAGTATTAAAAGTGGGAGAAATATAACGTTGGCTGACAGTCAGACAATATCCAGTTGGTTAATGAGTCTCTTTGCTTTCCAATTGTATACAAAGTACATCGTAAGCATGGGTGTGTGGTCAACTAATGAGTGGAGAATGGGGGAAAGTTATGTGACAAAATCCTCAAGAGTACCTTTAATCACAGTTGGTAACACTAATCGGCAGGTTTCTATGTTTTCAAGTATTTCTGAGAATGCGCTGGTGTCTGTGCTGAATGCTAATTATGCATATCCTTCAAAGTGTTCCGATCATAGCTACAGCGGTACAGGAGCAGCTAGAACTGGGAGTGAAATCTACTGGAAATGCCTGTGATGCCACTCAAATGGTAAGTCAGCATACCCCACTATTCCTTTATTCTTTTATTCATTAACGGGATGAGGGCGTTGCTTGCCAGACATTAGTGAACCAGATGGGTTTTTCCGACAATCGACGATGGATTCATGGTCATCATTAGGAGCTGAAAGTCAAGCCTTTTGTTCTCTTTATTCATTCACGGGATGAGGGTGTCGCTGGCCAGGCAGCATTTATTGCCCATCCCTAATTGCCCAGAGAGCAGTTAAGAGTCAACCACATTGCTGTGGGTCTGGAGTCACATGTAGGCCAGACCAGGTAAGGATGGCAGTTTCCTTCCCTAAAGGACATTAGAGAACCAGATGGGTTGACTTTTAACTGCCCTCTGGGATGGGCCAAGCAGCCTTTTTGCACCATAATAATTGTGTGCCACTGAGTTTTTGTTGATTTGTTTTCATCCACAGTCAGAGAAACACCACTCAGTCCTGTTGAACCTGCTTTGTGCTCAGTTGGGAGTGAATGTGGACAAAATCATAGACTTTGAGCTGTGTCTGGCCGATACTCAGCCTGGGGTAAGTATCTTCCTGTGAGGAGCTTCAGACAGTGTGACCATTGCAGGCCATTGTTGGAATGGTGAATTGATGATGATCGAATGGTAAGAATGAGTGTGAAATGGTGCAGTTTAGAACAAAAAACATAAAGAGGGAGTGACTTACATTCATGTACTGCCTTAGAAACTTTATGAAATCCCAAGGTCTTTTCTATTCTTGCATTGGATGTGGTCAGCTCTGATATGACTAGCAATTGTTGGCCATTCCTAATTGCCCTTGAACTAAGTGAACTAACTAGGAAAGATGTTGATCTTGAAAGGATGCCGAAGAGATTTACAAGGATGTTGTCAGGGTTGGAGGGTTTGAACTATAGATAGAGGCTGAATAGTCTGGGGCTATTTTCCCTGGAGCATCGGAGGCTGAGGGGTGACTTTATAGAAGTTATAAAATCATGAGGGGCATGGATAGGGTGAATAACCAAGGCCTATTTCCCACGGTAAGGGGGTCCAAAACTAGAGGGCATGGGTAAGAGGGGAAAGATTTAGAAGGGACCTAAGGGGCAACTTTTTCAAACAGAGTGTGGCACATGTATGGAATGAGCAGCCAGAGGAGGTGGTGGAGGCTGGTACAATTACAACGTTTAAAATTCATCTGAATGGGTACTTGAATAGGAAGGGTTTAGAGGGATATGGGCCAAATGCTGGCAAATGGGATTAGATTTATTTAGGATATCTGGTTGGCGTGGACGAGTTGGACTGAAGGGTCTGTTTCCGTGCTGTACATCTCTATGATTCTGCATGAATTGCCATGTTGTTGCTTGATAAAAGATTTCCTGTGATTTTGTTTTCGCTGCAGTGTGGACTGAGAGGTCCATGTGTGACAGCAGCTTCTTCAGCAGAAACTGCTTGTTGACTCACTGATCCTTGAGCGCACAGCTTCCCAGCTGCTGCACAGCTTTGAGGAGTCAGTGGTCAGTTCTGAGTCAACCACATTGTTTTGGCTCTGGAGTCACATGTAGTCCAGACCATGCCAGGCAGATTTCCTTCACCGAAGGACATTACTGAACCAGCTGAGTCTTACCAACAACTGATTATAGGTTCATGGTCACGATCCCTGAGACTGGACTTCAATTCCAGGGTTATTAGTTGAATTTCAATTCCACCAGTTGACATGATGGGATTTGAAACCCTTGTCCCCAGAACATGAACCTCCGCCTAGGCCTTTGGATTACTAAACCAGTGACATTATCACGATGCCACTGTTTTCCCACAATGCAGGTAAGGAGTACTTTACACTCAATGATGTGCTTTTAAAGTGTATTCACTGTTTTGATGTCATAAAGGTAGTAGTCAGTTGCACACAGTAAGCTCCAGAGCCTTCAGCCTTTGTGACTGCAACGTGGTTGATTTTAACTGCCCTTTGGAAAACAGGGATAAATGCAACATTTCCAACAATGCTCATGATTGTCGAATGAATTTTTTAAAAAATTAAATATAAAATAAGAAGCTATTATCAATAAGGACAACCAATAAAGTAGTGAATTGTTGTAAAAATCCATCTTGTTCATTAACTTTATTCAAGGAAGAAAACCTGCCATCTTTGTACCATCCAGTTCTGCAGCAATGTAGCTGACTCTCAACTGACCTTCGAAATGGCCTCAGTTTTGTTCACTGTCACCTTCTCAATGTCATTTAGGGCTGGGCTGACCTGACCACCCTGTCAATGAGTTACATTTAAACTGTGAAGAAAGCAGTGTGGAGAGTGGGCAGCATGGTGGCTCAGTGGTTAGCACTGCTGCCTCACAGCGCCAGGGACCTGGGATCGATTCCACCTTTGGGTGACTGTCTGTGTGGACTTTCCACATTCTCCCCGTGTCTGCATGGGTTTACTTCGGGTGCTCCAGTTTCCTCCCACAGTCCAAAGATGTGCAGGTTAGGGTGGATTGGCCATGCTAAATTGCCTGTAGCGTCCAGGGATGTGCAGGCTAGGTGTGTTAGCCTTGGGAAATGCAGGGTTACATGGATAGGGTAGGAGGGTGGGTCTGGGTTTGGAGGGTTGGTGTGAACTTGATGAGCCAAATAGCCTGCTTCTACACTGTAGGGATTCTGCATAACAGTTCATGTTTCAGGCCCTTTTGAAAGATCATTGATCTGAAATACTGAGCTGAATTTTACAGGGCAGGGGGGTGTCCTGCTCGATTTCCCAACCCAGATGAAATGCCAGATGTTTATAAGAGAAGGCTGCTCTGCAGCAATTGTGGGGGTAGCCTTCAGTAGGTGTGAACAGGATTTCCAAACACATGTGCATGTGCATGCACACTGACACACAGGTCGGTAGGAGGATGTGCTGTCCTCAAGCTGCTGGCCAATCTGACTGGCAGTGTGAGCAGAGCAGCAAACAAGTAATGGGCACTGCTGTGATTACCCTAGGATGAAGACAGCTGGACCCAGTAAATCCTGGAGTTTGGACAGGAATTTGGACAAGTAAGGTCCAGCAAAGGCTAAGGAAACAGAAGGGATGGTTGGTAGGGTGAAGCAGACAGGCTTGAAATTACAGGTGGCAGGGTATCACCTTTGTAGGGGTGAGAAAGAGGTGCCTCTAATGCACAGTATTTGCCTTCTTTTAACCAGTTTGGTTAAAATGATAGTCTACTTACTCTCTTCTGCCTGCTTACTCCAAGCATGTTATGTTGTAGTGTCCCTTCTTCTGAACCAGGAGACCCAGGTTCAGGGCCCAACTGCTCCAGAAATGTATCTGAGCAAGTTGATGAAAAACGAAAACAGAAAAAGCTGAAGAAACTCAGCTGACCTGGCGACATTTGTGGAGAAAGAAACTGAGTTAACACTTTGAGTCCAGTCACCCTTTTTCTGAATTTGTTTATTTCAGATGTCCAGTATCCACAGTTCTTTGTTTTAGTTTAGGGTGATTAAAAATATGTATTGGGGAATGGACAGGGGTGGATGAGAAGGTGATGGGCTCCCTCCCAGACCCTGTCCTCCAGCACGGGGCTGAAAGATCCAATCCACTCACTCGTTTTTTCTCGTTCACCGTGTTACATGAGAAGGAAATGTTGCTTTAGTTCATTTTTAGTAGCTGTGTTGGCTACCGTGAGCGCTCACTGCAAACACAACTCTTTACATTTGAAGAGTGGGTGTGGTGTTGTCATTGCTGTTCTCACTGTGCTTCACCCAGCTACCTTGTTCTTTCCTCTAGGCTCTGGGTGGTGCTTTCAAAGAGTTTATATTTGCCCCACGACTGGATAACTTACACAGTTGTTACTGTGCCCTGCAGGTAATGTGCATTAACCTACTTCAGCACGTAGTCAAGAAAAAGGAACACAATTCTGGAATTCCTACCCCACACCTCTGTCTCTCGTTTGTATTGTATCTTCAAACCAACTTCCAAGATTATCATCCCATATTATCTTATGTGGCTGAGTGACAAATCTACATTGTTGGCACCTCTCTAAAGGACTTTAACATATAAAGCACAGTTTAACATGGTAAAATAAGTATAAATTATTCTGCCAGCTGCACAGAATTTCAAAAATCCAACTTTAATCATTAATGACATATAGCTAATAGTGGTGCTTCTGTTGGTCTTCTGTTCACTAGCTATTTAGACCACTTGTGGACTGTCCTGCGCTGTTGCTTTTTACTTTGATTACTCCCTATAACTTGACCCTTACCGGATGTGTTCACTCAGCACTGGGCTCACTGTCCACACTGTCTCCCAGTCCAACAACACCTCGGTTTTAAAATTCTCATCCTTGTTTTCAAATGCCTCTGTGGTTTCGCCTCTATCTCTGTAATTTCATTCTGCTGTTCCAACTCTGAGATTTTTGCACTTCTCCAATCCTGGTGTCTTACACGTGCCCCATATTCTTCACCTCACCAGCACCTTCAGCTACCTAGACCTTAAGTTCTGGAATTGCCTCTATAAACCTCTCCGCCTTCTTTAAACTAATCCTTAAAGCATAACTCCTTGACCAAAGTTTTAGTCACCTGGATTATTATCAGCTCTTTGGCTTGTGGCACATCTTGTTTGACAGTGCTCCTGAGCATTCCTTTGGGATGCTGTTCTGTATTAAAGGCACTGTATAAGTGAGAATTGATTTGTCCCTGGCCGTGCTCTCTAGTTTCTCACCACTGGTGTGAGACTGACTCAGCCCCCTGTATCAGCCATGACTAGGCAGCCAGGGCCCTTGTCTCTGTCAGAAGGTTACTCTGTCAAGTCTCCCACTGAGCTGTGCACAGCAGAAACACAAGTAAACGTCCTGGGACGCTGATCCACAGCCATCTAACTCAAGGGGGACAAGTGCCAAAGCAAAGTGGCATACAGCTTTTCTGCCCCCCGTTTTTAGTGTCTCTGTGGTAAGAGCCCTTTCTGTATCCTCCACAGGCCCTAATTGAATCATCCGAGGAGCAAGGCACACTGGCTGAGGACAGCAATATCCGAGTGGTTACGCTATTTGACAACGAAGAGGTAGATTCATTTGATAGGATGGACATTGAGAAGATATTTGTGTGTGAGAAGATATTTGTGGGGCGGCACGATGGCTCAGTGATTAGCACTGCTGCCTCACAGCGCCAGGGGACCCGGGTTCGATTCCACCCTCGGGTGACTGTCTGTGTGGGGTTTGCACATTCTCCCCGTGTCTGCGTGGGTTTCCTCCGGGTGCTCCGGTTTCCTCCCACAGTCCAAAGATGTGCAGGCTAGGTGGATAGGCCGTGCTAAATTGTCCATAGTGTTCAGGGATGTGTAGATTAGGTGGGTTATTATAGGGTAATGGGTCTGGGTGGCATGCTCTGTGGGTCGGTGTGGACTTGTTGGGCCAAATGGCCTGTTTCCACACTGTAGGGATTCTATGCTTCTATGACTAGTGACCATCCATATAAGACATTAACAAATCCAATCAGAAATTCAGGAGAAATTTCTTCACTCAGAGTGATGAGAACGTGGAACTCACTCCCACAGCGAGTAACATGGATGGAATTCAAGGGGAGAAACATAATGGAGAAAGGAATAGAATGACAGGTTATAAGATGAGATGGAGGAGTGGAAAGGTGTGGAGCAGTGATATGAGTGTTGACCAGTTGGGGCAATGGCCTGTTTCTGTGTGAGTGCTGTGTAAGATGGGTGAAAGTCAAAGGGCCACAGGTATGACTTATGCTAACTTAATAAGCGTAGCCAACTGTAATCCACAAAGCATCATGGGCATTTCTCTCCATTTGAGAGAGACCATTGATAACAGAGCTCTGAGGGTACTACATCTATTGTACATTAGAGTGAGGAGGCAGAGCCTGCATGAACTACTGCAGCCAGTGTGGGATTTGAACCAGCGATGTTGGCATCTCTCTGTCTGAACCTGCACTGATGAAATAAGGATAGATTTACATTTGTATAGTGCCTTCCTCAAATGCAAGAGCCAATTTGCAGAACTGTTCTGAAGTGGGATCACTGAACCTAAAATGTTAATTCTGCTTTCTCTCCACAGATGTGGCCAGACCTGCTGAGTTTTTTCCAGCAGTTTCTGTTTTTGTTTCTACTTTCAGCGTCCACGGTTCTTTCTTACTTTTCTAATCTTGTTCTTTTTACCTCTGCCTCGCCCCTCGTGGTTGTTAAAAGGTTGGAAGCCAGAGTGCTCATGGAGCAGGCTCCTCCTTGACCGAGTTAGTCTTGCGTCGTCTGTCTTCCAGTTTCGACAACCTGACTGCATTTGAGGAAGCTATTCCCAAGTCATTCATGATCAGCTCGGACATGGCACATGCTGTACACCCCAACTATGCGTAAGTGCTTCCATTTCCAATTCTGCTTTCACAGGATGATGTAGCATTGCTGGCCAGATCATCCCTCGCTATTGATTAGATCAGTAATGATGGAAATCATAAAGAAGCAGTGCTTCATTGGACTCTGGCTTCATTTAAGATAGAAAAAACAATGCCTTTTCTTTAGAATCCCCACAATGTTGAAACAGGCCATTTGGCCCAACAAATCCAGACCAACCCTTTGAAAAAACATTCCACCAAGACCTATCCCCCCCACCCCCTATCCCTGTAACCTGGCATTTCCCCTGGTTAACACACCTAACCTACACAATTGGCTTATAAGTACGTTATAAGAGAGCCTCTTTTGAAAAAAAAACATTTGTTTTTACAGGGTTCCTAAATTGCTTGTAATGTGGGGTGCGGGTTGTGGGGTGCAGAAGGGTATGGGATGTCTTCAGAAACAGAATGAAAACCCCCAGCTTTAAACGACTCCCAGAATTGGAGTGAAATTGACTTTGTGTTTTGAATACTTTCAGAGACAAACACGAGGAAAATCACAGGCCAGCGCTCCACAAGGTGAGCTTTACAGACACGTGTCGAACTTCTCCAAACCTGTAAGAGTGAGCCTCTGAATCCTTCTGTCAAACTGAGCGGTCAGATTGTGTCTTTTGTTTTTACAGATCAAGTGAATTGCTTCAATGACGTCCCATTGAGTTGTTTGTTTCTGGTAGCCATGATGTGAGGTGTTGGTGTTGGACTGTGGTGGATAAGGTCAGAAATTACACGACCCCAGGTTATAGTCCAACAGGTTTGTTTGAAAACACAAGTTTTTGGAGTGTAGCCCGTTCGTCAGCTGACCTATAACCTGGTGTCATATGATTTCTGACCTTGTCTGTTTCTGTCAAACCTGACCCCCTCCTTTCCCTACTTTCCCACCTCTTCAGCTGTTGTGGCAAATGTTAAAGATCTCATGGCACTTTTAAATAGAACTGAGGGCCCTCTCTTGCCCTGACCAAGATTTATCCCTTCAGCAATGCAGTGAGACAGGGAGGCAGCAAAGTAGGAAGCCACTCGGCCCATTGTGCCTGTACTAGCTCTTTGGAAGAGCTGTCCAATCCAGTCAGTTCTGCTATGACGTGTGTTCCATCAACGCAAATTGGCTGTAACGCGACTGACGAGTAGGGGAGCGCTGTTTCTAAAACGCAAACTTGTATTGGCTATAACGCGATTCTATCGGTGCACAGAGGAGGATGTTCAACATCACATGATCATTTCACGGGCTTTGTCCATGAAGTGCTTTCTGTGAGAGATACAGTACAACCTCCTCCCCCATCAAGTCATCTTGACTGTTTTCCAAGGTGAAGTGTTAAATTTCATTATTAGGTATGAATCAAACATTTATTCAAATTGTGCTATCCTTTGTGTTCGGCTTTTGAGTGATTTTTTTTTGGTATTCTGCCCTAACTCCACTTTTCCCAAAGGCTCGTTATTTCTAAGTGTGATTTTCTAAACGCGATGTTGCACAGAACGCAACTATCGTGTTATAACAGAGCCGACTGTAAGTCCCACACCCTTAATCAATTGCATGTAGCCCAGCAATTTTTTTTTGCTTTTCAAATATCTAACCAATTTCCTTTTGTAGGTTATTGTTTATAGATACACCTACCATCCTTTCACACAATGCTTTCCATAATTTACCGTGTAATTTTATCATTGCCCCTTCAGTTACCTCCTGATTCTTTCAGAGCTGCTGCTAGTTTGTTGCCTTGATGTTTGTAAAGTTGAAACACAGCTCCAGGAACAATTACATCGTTCTCCATAAAGCCTCTCATCGAGCATTGACAGTGAACCTTTAGCAACAATTTGGCAACTTCACAGTCAGTCTGAGTGATGCCATTTAGGTGTCTACTTAGTTGCCTTTTGAAATTGGATTCAGAGCCTGAAACACAGTAACAGGATTTAAATTCGCATTCTCGAGATTCTAGATTACTCAAACCGTGGCCTCTTCAATATCCTTCCCAGATCTCCTAGGACTGGACTCAACTCAATGTCCATGGAGTTTGGACTTCACTCTTTGCTTATGCGAATGTTTTAAAAGCCAAAAGAAATGAACCAGCAGCTGTTGTGGGACTTGAACTCCTGGTCTCTGGATTAGTTGTTCAATAATTGCTACACCATCATTGAGGAAGCAGTGTTCGATGAGACACTTTGGGAAAATACTACACTTCACTAAGTGGTGCCATGGGACCTTTAACATTGACCGAACAAATGAGACCTGAGTCCCATGCCTCACTTTACAAGCTAGTGAATAGATTGTATTTTTAAATACCTGCATTGACATAATAATGTTAAATAAAATTTCATATTTATTATGTTGGATTTCAGAGCTGTACTGAAAGTTCACAGGGCTCAAGGCAAGAAAAGAAGTTATTTAGGATCAGGGACCCTCTGTTCATTCCTCCTACACCCCGCACACACACTACGGCCCCACATGCCACACAAAAATCCCGTTCAATTAAGCAGTAATCTCTGTTCAGTGCCTGTTGAATGTTTTCACATTGCTCTAATAGAATTTTCTGTAGTGCCTCTAATGTCGTAATTCCTTAAGATGCTTCACAGCGGTGTTTTAGGAAGTTAGAAACAAGAAGTCCATAGAGTCTGCTCCACCATTCAGTTCAATTATGCTGGAGGTCTACCTGTGCTAGCCCCATTTCCCTTGATGTTATTAGTATCTAAAAATCTCTTATTTTCTGTATTGAACATACCAAATGAGAGCTCCCCCAGAGATTCCAAAGATTTGCCACCAGAGTGAAGAAATGCCTCCTCAGCTTAGTCTCCAAATTAGGGGCAGGCCACATATGACAGTGTCCCCTAGCCCTAGTTGCATGGTTTTATCAATATCACTAAACCAAGACTTTGCCACATACAGAAATATTGGGGAAGACAGAGAGATTTGAAGCGGTACCTTAAAGGTGGAGAGAGAGTTGGATATCTTTAGGGAGGGAATTGCAGAGCTTAGGGCCCATCAATTATCGAGTCATATAGCATGGAAACAGACCCTTAGGTCCAACTAGTCCATGCTGACTACGTTCCCAAGCTGAACCTGTCCCACCTGCCATATCCCTCCACGACTTCCTCTGGCAGTTCATTCCACACACAAACCACTCTCTGTGTAAAAAAGATGCCCCTCATGTCCTTTTTAAATGTTTCTCATCTCACCTTAAAAGTACGCCTCCTAGTTTTGAACTTCACCATCCTAGGGGAAGACCCTTGTCATTCATCTTATCCATGCCCCTCATGATTTTATAAATCTCTATAAGGTCATCTGTCTTGAATGCATTGGTTGATGCTGATGAGGCCAGGCCTCGGAACCTTGTAGGGCTTCAGAGATTTATAAAAAAGGGTGAGAATTTTAAAGTGGAGGTGTTGCTGGCTGGGAGCCAGTTTCTGGTCGAGCACAGGGCTGACTGGTGAATGGGACTTGATACAAGTTGGAATATGAGTAATGGAAACATCAATTGCAATGAACCACACTCAGTATAGTCTCCTGGTTATATGCAGTTTTATTTTGGATGATGGTAGGTTGTAGTCTGTGCTGGGGTCAGTGGACCAGTCAGCCCTTGCATTTTGCTGCTTTCATGAGACTTGTTAATGATGCCCCTTTTTATTTCTATCTCAGGGACCAGTGCTTAAATTTAACAGTAACCAACGATATGCCTCAAATGCTGTCACTGCTGCCATTGTGCGAGAGATTGCTAACCGTGTGGGTGTCCCACTCCAGGTAACACTGCTCTCCATTCTTCCCCACGTCTTCCCTCCAACTTCAGGCCGGAGGTCTGCTGGACAATGATGGAAGTGTCACAGAAATTTGGAATTCATTCCCTGTAAGGCTAGGTGTGCTGGAGGGGGATGGGAAGCAATTACAATGCTCATATTGAATGTTTGGTTGACTGAGGGAAATCGAGCTAATCAACATCTTGAGCATCGCCATCACCCAAAAACCCCCTAATTGAATTGACCACATCAGTATTCAGTTCAGAGGCTGGGAGTTCTGCCTTGAGTAGCCCACCTTCTGATTTTTGGGAAATCTGTGTTACAATGTAGAGGCAAATAGGTTTTCAGTTCTATGACTTTTTACCTTTTGAAGGTCAGAAGCTTTTTTTTTGGTATGGGTCAAAGCAGCATTTCCAAGAAATGTAAGCTAAATGAAGAGACAAGCTACTTGGTGAGATAATCGTTGACGTGTTTTCTAAGTTGCACAATGACTACCCAGAGAAAGAAAGGCCATAGGAAGTGTAGCTGAAAAA